TTACTGGGGAGAGGGTTTGAAGGTGCTCACATCCCTCACCCTGCACCCGTCCCGTCCTGCCAGGGAGCCCCAATGGACACAAGAGCGGTGCAGAGCACATCCTGACCCCAACTCCAAGCGGCTGCCCCCGTGCCAGCCCCCGTGACTATGGACGAGTGGAAGCCCAACCCTGCCGTCAAGCCCCACAAGAAACGGAGCTGGTACCTTGCCTGGAAGTACAAGCTGATGAACCAGCGTGCGCTGCGGAAGCTGTGCCAGGTGAGTCACCCACAGGCCTGTGGTGGATTAGGAAGGATAATCTGAGGGATTTATGAGCTTGTGTGGGTGGAGGTGGGTCTGCTGACAGTCCTGGGTAATCTACCATGCTGGGAAAGCATAACTTGTCACCCCTCAAAAGCCACCTCCAGTGGCTTTGTGCTTTTACACAGAAGGGTCTGCTATATCTAGCAGTTCCTTCCACCTGTTGAGTGGCTGTGGCAGGAGATGCAATTATTCAGGTGTTCTTGGAAGGTTTTCAGTTAGAAACCCCACCAATTCCTCCTCTTCTGGTTTTGGACCCATGCTGAATGCCGCAGGACTCAGACTGCAGTAGGAAACCATCCTTGCCCCTTTTGGTTTGCAATCCAAGCCTGGCATAAGGCACAACAGGTGGACAGAGAAAATAAGTCTGGGTAAAAGGATCTCATGCTCCAGAGGCAGCTGTTGCCTGGGAAAGCCCTTGGCCTAGTTGCTGGTGTTGTAAAAAGGCTAATCCTTGGCAGAGCTGGCCTCCTGGGGGGTGTCTGGGGGCATAAAGGCAGGAAGGGTCTGGCCCTATGGCAGTGAGCTGCTGGAAAGGGGCTGTTCCTGAGATGAGCAGAACTTGAGAAATCTGGCAATTGGTTCCTCCTGTGGGAGGGAGCAGGGAAGGGTTTTACATGTGCCTAGAAGGACAAGCACTCATGAGGATTCCGTGGACAAGGAGACTACTCAGTCCTGTGTCCACTGGGGTGCTCAGGGCTTGGGAATGTGCCTGGTCATTCAGGCAGGCGTTGCTCATCATGCTGTGGGCAATGGGCTTGAGCCTGTCTCCTGTCATCTCTCTCTGTGGCACTGCTGTGGCTTAAAACACAGATGTAAATTTGGCTTAAAAATAAGTAAACTAGAGCTGCAGGTATGGAGTAGCCTGGTCTACAGCAGCTGAAATTCTGTGAGCAGCTCTGACTGAGCCAGACTTGCTAGGCCTGGCTTCTGGTCTTGCTTAGTGCTGACTTATTTGCTTTGGTCATTGGGACTGCTTCCCCATGTCTCCAGTGCTGACCAGGGTGGAGGGTCTGGGAAGGCTGGTAAAGTGGCTTTGCTGCTGGTCACTAGGCACAGCCCGCTCCTCGCCACCAGCCCAAGGCTCTGTTCTTGCTTAATTAAAAGCTTTCCATGCACAGATCCTGAATGGTGCTCATACTCCTGAGTCAGCAGCAAATCAACAAGCCAAATTGTCATTTGTAGCAACATGTTGTCTTACTGCTGGTTTTCCACCTTCCTCTTCCTCAGTTACTTCTCAAACCTGTTTGGCTGCTTGGCAGAGATAGCAGCAACACGTAGTTTTGAGGCAGTAGCTGGTCAGGTAGGGCAGGTGCCTCTCACCAGGAGCAGCCCTATGTTGGGATCCCACCCCTATACCAGGCTTGGAGAATCAAGAGTCCTAGAGCTGAAAAAGGCACTGACTTTTAAGAAGCAAGTTGTTGGGGGATTGAGGGGCAAGGGAAGAGTCTAAAAAACACCCAAGACCTCTCTCAACATCCCTTTGCTGGGGAGACCAGGCTATGAGCAGCCTCCACCAACCTCTCCTGTCCTCTCTGTATTGCCACGACATCTTTACGCTAAGTCTTGGAATGCTCTGGGGAGGTCAGTAGGACCTTGAGCTTGTGTGGCTGAAACTGGAAACCATCAAGTATGTCCGAAGTGTGGCTGCACCCAGGAGCCACAGCTTTTGGGCCATAGGATGAATCTGTCAGCAACACATAGCAGCCAGATTTGAGACTCTCTAGTGGCTCTGCTGTGAACTGGGTGGACACTTCTAGCATGGAAGCTTTCCCTCGCTGTGTGACTGTTCAGGGCAGCTTTTGGGCTCTCTGCCAGAGCTGGAACAGGGCTGTGCCTGCTGAGCAGGGAGTTTTGTCCTTGTGCACCTTGTGCTGCTCCCACCATTCCACCATGAGGAATCACCTGAGCCCTGGCTTACAAAGCTTCCGGGGTCAAGAGAAATTGCTTTCTGTGAGGTCTTGTCTTTCAGTCATGCATCCCAAACCATCACTGCAGCTCTAGGACCATCCTCTTGGTCATGGTCAGACGTACTCTTGAAGCCTACACCTGCAGGCAGGTTGTTTCCCAGCACAGGTTATTGGTGGTCCAAGTGTTCCTGTCTTTTCAGGAAAAAGACTGAAATTGGGGAAGAGAGGAAGAAGATGCATTTAAATTAATACAGTCACTTGTAGAAATTTTCTAGTACTTTTTTTTTCCCCGACAGGGCCGTGGGCAGGGCTTCCCATGGACTGCTCCATAGCCCCTGGACCTTCCCGGAGCCATCTGTGTCAGCACCCATCTGGGTTGCCTCGAAGTTTGCTGCAGATGGTGAGGCTGCAGGCTGTTCTCTGTAGCCTGTGGCATAGTGCAGTTTCCTGAAGTCACACCTCAGCTTCTTCCCTTTGTCTTGCTTTAGTCACACAGCATCTCCTCTCTCACTGAATACAATTTGTGGTTGCAGAGGGAGAGATAAGAGCAGTGAAGCTGCAGGAGAGGCAGAAGTTAGGGTTACTGTGGCAGCTGGTACTTTGAAATTGTCAAAGTCTTTGCCTGCAGAGATCCTCAACTGCAGTGCAATATTTTAGCAGGAATCTGCTTGCAGATCTGGAAGCAGGATATGTTGGAAGTGGCCTAATTCACAAGAGGTATCAAGAAGTTGGTGCTCTCCCTCTGATGAAAGCATTTCATCCTGAAACTCAGTCACCCCCGAGGAGGTGGGCTGGTCTTGGGGTTGTTACTTACAGGTCACTAACACAAAGCATCCTGCGTTGCAGACAGGTGCTGTGCTCTTCCTCCTTGTGACTGTAATTGTGAACATCAAGCTGATCTTGGACACCAGGAGAGCTGCTTATGAAGAGGAAGAAGAGTCTGCACAGGACTATGGTGAGAGACAGCATCTTCCTGTTCTTTCAAAGCAAGGGAAGTCGAGGGAGTCAAGTAGTTTCTTTAAGACAGGGCAAACTTGTGACCTGCTGCAGCATGGATGATATATCTGTGCATATGGATTTAACAAAAATAAATAGAAAAGGCTGTTCCCATTTCTGGTCTGTCTGCTCAAGACTTCATCACGTTTGGCTGCAGGGTTCTGTGGGGGTAGCTGGGGCCAGACCTGTTGCCATTTTGGATTTCCCTTACCTACCATCCCTTTAGATTCCCTGTAGGTTCTGTTGGGCTGGGTGTGACCTTCTGGAGGCTTAGCTGGGCTAGCACTGGGCCGGGACAAGCCGGAGGTGCCTCGGCTGGTTGAGATTGAGCATTTCTTCCCTGTAGATGATGAGATGCTGAATGTGGAGGTTCCTAGGCGACTTGTCAGCAGCAAGAAGGTCTTGGATGTTGAGGTGTACTCCAGCCGGTCGAAAGTCTACGTGGCTGTGGATGGGACAACAGTAAGTGATGAATGTTTGCTGTCTCTATGATCAGAGGATGGATGGAGCTGAATGAGTGAAGCCTCAAGCAGCGAGTGGTGAGCGTGCATTGGTGGCTGGCGAGAAGATCAGGAGTGGATCCCCCTCCTGCCTACACAACTCTGGAGATGTTATCCTGTGTTGTATTCTACTCTGGCATTCATCACTGTTGTGAGTCACAGTAGAGAGATTTGCCCCTTGGAATGGGCACAGAATAAGAGGTCTTGGTCTTGTCCACTTGCAGGTCTTGGAAGATGAGGCTCGGGAGCAGGGAAGAGGGATCCACGTCATCGTCTTAAATCAGGCTACGGTATAAGGCGTCCCCGTGTGTCCGTATTTGTCTTCCTTACTGGGCAGTGTTTGTCCTTGTTTTTTATCAGCTGAGTGCATAAGGCAAAGGGCAGCCAGGAGGAAAGTTCCCAAATACGTTATTGTATGTTCCAGAGCACGATGTGGTCACCCAGAGAGTCCCTGCAGTGCTTCTCATGCGGTTTCCTTGCCATCCTTGGGGAGCAGGCAGGAGAGGGGTTGTGAGGTTGGATAATGCTGTTCATGGGCCTCAGTGCACTTCATGTCATGCATGAGGGCCCAATGGCCAAGCTTGCCTGGGGACTTCACTCCCTGGTGTACCAGAAAAGTAACTCGTCGTGTTGCACAGAGAGTGAGGCTGCCAGGACAGATTTCTGTAGTTTTGCGTGTTCTCACCTTATAGCATTTAAGATGCATCTGATGTTTGAATACCAACAGGGTCACGTGATGGCGAAGAGGGTCTTTGACACGTATTCTCCCCATGAAGATGAAGCCATGGTACTTTTTCTCAATATGGTTGCCCGGGGCCGGATCCTGATCTTCACCATTAAGGTATGTGACCTTAGTGTCAAAAGAAAAAGTCACCTTGAGTCAGGATGCCCTAAAGCTCATCTGGGCAGTTGCCTCCTGAATGTCATCAGGCATTTCCAGGGCTAAATGTCACAACCCCACTGGCCTGTGCCACCTTGGCTGGATTGCCTCCATTGTCCTCTCACTGTCCTTTGTTACTATAGATACTGCTGTGTGCCCAGCAGGGCAGGAGAGCAAAAAATTCCACGTGTTGCAGCCTGCAGCCATAAACAAAAGGTTAGATGGAGAATGGACGTGAGGAACTATAAGAATGTGGTGCGACCCTTCTGAGTCCCAGTTCCAGGCTTTACAGGGGACACTGTGGACTGTGTAGCTTCTGGGCTGCTGTGTGAGCGGCACTGTGCTACTTCAAGGTTTCAGGTTTAGCTGTGTGAAGTGTCACTGAACAAATGGCCCTGCCTGAGAACAATTTGGTCTTGAGGAAATGGGAGTCTCTGTCTCCTCTGACCTCCCTATGGGTCATGGTATAGCCACCAGCAGGTTTAGTGGCACAGAGAACATAGGACCTGCTCTTGAAGGTGTCTGACTCATCTGGTTCAAGGACACAAAAGCATCCTATTACTCTTTGGTATTAACAGGAGACTTCCCGTGTCAACATCGAGAATCAGGCCTTATCTGCAGGGTTGTGTTTTGTTCCAGGATGAAGGCTCCTTTCACCTCAAGGACACAGCTAAGAATGTCCTGAAAAGCCTGGGGAGCCAAGTTGCACCTTTCTTGAGCTGGAGAGACATGTGGACATTTGTGGGAAAGAAGGGAGGTGAGTCTAGCACAGCCTGGGAGAAGGTTTGTGGCCATTTTGGAGGGAGAAGCCAGATGAAAACAGACCCAGCCCATCCCCAACACACTATATGACCAGGGAACAAGTCACCGAGAACAGGCAACTGCATTCCTGGGGGTGTGGGAGGGGATGGAGGCAGGGTGTGTCCCCTCAGCAGCTTACCAGAGGCCAATGGGAAAAGATGCCAAGCTGCCACCCCGAGCTACAGCCCTTGGTCGTGCCTTGACACAGTGGAGATGGGCCCTTCCGGAAGTCTGACGCTGTGTTCCTGCTCCAGGGGAAGTATATGGGGAGAAGCACGCCAAGTCTCCTGCCCTCTCGACATGGGGTGACCCTGTACTGCTGAAGACAGAAGTTCATCTGACATCTGTGGAAGGTAGGAAGTAAGATCCACTCTGTGGTGCCAGGTGTCTCTGGGACATGTCTACCAGTTGCTCTTGGTGGTTTGGGGTCAAAGGTACAGGTCTGTTGGCAAAATCACAGGATGGATTTAAGGTTATTTGAGATGGGGATGTTAACTTTTAAAATGGGGCCGGCTTCCTTTCTTGCTTCTATGGCAATTCTAGGCATGATTGTTGAGAAAAGTGAGGATAGGACGGTGAGGAAGTGGTCTGACCATTTGTCACCTCTCTAAGCCAGGCTTGGTCCAGTCTTTTCTGACTGTTGGGCATGAACATGGCCCCATCGCTGCTCAGAGAAGCTGTAGGATGGGGATGGCTTCTGAACGGCTCCTGTGGTTATGTCTGGCATCCAGAAGTGCGACTTGTTCATAGTAATAAGGACTGGCTTGGTGATGGCTGAGACCAGGGAGAGCCATGCATCTGGCAGTGCAGCCTGGAGCCTGCAGGGTGAGGCCATGGGGGTGAACAGTCTTTGTTCTCTTTGGTGCCTCCAGATGCTGAGTGCCATTGGCCTGACACAGAGCTGAACCGGCGCCGCCAGAGGTTCTGCAGCAAAGTAGAAGGTTACGGCAGCGTCTGCAGTTGCAAAGATCCCACACCCATTGAGTTCAACCCTGATCCTGTGAGTACAGTGGCAGAATATTCGGGGAAAGCTCCAGGAGGGAAGGCTGGGCTGGACCAGGTGTGTTTGCAGCTCAGATGCAGAGCCCTGTCCTTAAGCTCCAGCTGAGTGGTTAAAACTGCCCCTGGGCAAGCTCTTAACCCCAGCAAAGGTAAGGTGAATACACGTGGTCAGGTCGTGCTGGGGATGGCAAGTTCCCTTTGGATCCAGCTCTCAGTGACATAGAATCATTTAGGTTGGCAAGGCCTTCCCCAGCCCCACTCACACACATTTTTCTCTTCCAGCTCAAGGATAATAAAGTCTTTGATGTGCCTGTAGCTGTTATTGCAGGAAACCGCCCCAACTACCTGTACAGGTGAGCACTTCCAGGAGACACAGCTTCTCTGCTGTGTGCCACAAGACCACACGTTGCCCAAGCCCTCCCCTTCGCCCTGCTGGCAGGATTCAGCCTCCTGAATGACGTTGCATGAGCAGCATGGGCAGACCTGCTTGGACAGCTTCCAGAGTCATTGGCCATGGGAAGGGGAAGAGCCCAAGGGCAGTAGGTCCTGTTCCCTAACCATGTGTGCTTTCCCCCACCCCAAGGGATCCATACCCCTCTGCTGAGCGACCTGGGCCCACTGGGGCTGCAAGCTCAGGCCCCTCAATCTCTCCCCAGGATGCTGCGCTCCTTGCTGTCGGCTCAGGGCGTCAATCCACAGATGATCACAGTCTTCATCGATGGGTACTATGAGGTGAGAGCACCCCCAGAGGTCCCTGTGGCCTGGTCCTTGGTCACGCTGCTACTCATCTGCTCCTATGCAAAGTCAGTCAGCTTAGCCAGGCCATTCATGTGGATAAAGCTGCCTTGGCCTTTCCCCAAGCCTGGGGTTGACATCCCCATGTCAGAAAGGGGCTGGTGTGCAGGAATGAGATGGTCATGCTGGGCTCTCCCCATCCCCTTTTCTTGCTTAATGAGTATCACCAGCCCTTGGAGCAGGGTCTCAGTGTAACACCACCCTTCCAGCTCCCTTTCATGAAATGGAACAAACCAGTCCAGCCATGCCTGTCCAGCTCTGTCCTCAGCAAGAGGTGTGATCTCCTTTTCACAAATCTTATGAAAATGGTGGCCAGGTAGAGGAGAGCTGGTTCTTTAGAGGGCAAAGACCTTGTTAGAAAAACAGAAAGTCCTGGAGAATCCCACTGCAAGCCCTGGCACTCTGACAGCAGGATGTGTTCTGGGACAGGTGTGAGAGATCTTAGAAGGTCTCAAGAGCTTGCTTGTCCTCATCTTTGCAGCAGCCCATGAGACACTGTCTGGTTGCCTTGGGATGGAGATGGGGAAGGGAATAGGCTCATTCCCTTGCAGGCCTCTCCCACCACTGCCAGGTTGTGGGGCTGCAGGAGCTGGTTTGTTTATGCAGACTCTTACTGCAGCACATCAGAGTAGTTAAAGATAGCAGCATCCATTGCCATGGCAACTGGAACAGCATCCGTCAGCTACAAGGGGGCAGCCTGGATGATCTTGCTGCCATGATGGGTACCAGGGAAAGGAGGAAGAACAGTTGGTGTAATGGGATCTCCTTTTTTTTCTTTTGTGGCTAGGAGGTGGGATGGAGAAGGCCTTGGTGGGGCTTTCTTGGGGCAGAGATATGTCAGCCCAAACGTGGATTACTTCTGACCCTAGTGCAGATGTGCTTGGTTAAAGAGGTCCCTTTATTGGGAGCTGTGAGAGAAAATTAAATTGATCATGGTCTTGATATTCAGCAGCTAGATAGGTGTTCCTGGCTATACATGCACTGTTTGTGGGGCAGTGGGGATTCGGGCTTCTCGGATGTTCTTGAATACAGCTTTGGGGCTAACAGAAACTTACGGTGACACTTACGGACTGAAGGGTTAAGAGAATTTGGCAAGCTCCTTGCTGTGGCATCTCCAGCACGATATCACTTTGAGCTTCAGTTGCCCTCAAGAGGACAGCCACGTGCAGGGGGTCCCACAGGTGTATTCTTCTCGTCCCAGCGAGGTGACACTGATGAAGGGTGGGGAGAATGTATCCAGACCCACACATTTGATGAGCTTTGTACCTTTCCATTACAGGAGCCAATGGATGTTGTGGAGCTGTTCGGCCTCTCAGGAATCCAGCACACTCCCATCAGCATTAAAAATGCCAGAGTTTCCCAGGTGAGAAACCTTTCCAAAACCCGGGGAGAGTTATTTCCTGGGACCTGGGGTATCATTCAAGGGAGGCAGGCATAGCCCTGCATCTCTGTCAGGTTGATGCTAACACAGGCAATGGTCTGTCTTCTCTTGTAGCACTACAAAGCCAGTCTGACTGCAACCTTCAACCTGTTCCCGGTGAGCGAGACCTCTGCCTGTGCCCTGTCTGGCTGCTCACCCATGGGAGGAAGAAGCGCAGGGTTTCCCTGGGAGAGTGGCATCTGTGACCCCCATCACAAAGGAGCTAGAATTGGTCCTGTGGGGCAGGGAGCAGCACAGGCAGGGGATGCTGCCTGGTGTCTCTGCTCTGTCCTGTTCCTCTCTATCCTTCTGACATCTCTCCTTTCGCTACAGGATGCTAAATTTGCTGTGGTTCTGGAGGAAGACCTTGACATTTCTGTTGACTTCTTCAGGTAAAGCTGCAGGTCCCTGAGCTCTTGTTCAGATGGGACATTTCCTAGAAGTTCTGTGGCTGCTCAAGAGAGGCCAGATCCCTGCCATGCTGTAGCTCACCTGTCTGAGGCTGAGTTGTCCCCAGGTGACAGCCATAACTGACCTCTGTGTGCAGAGAGTCTTGGGTCTGTGTGCAGAGAGTCTTGTCCTTGCACTCAGTGCAGGGTGACTTTGGGGTCTAGGTTCTCTTCCTGATTTGCTTTTTGGAGACACTGATCCATTCTGTACACACACAGTTGGGTTTACCCCATAGCAAGAGGGCAGGGACAATGTCTAATGGGGCTCCTGTTTCTTTATAAGGAGGAGAGATCCTGATGGAGCAGGAAGGAGTTTTGTCACCTGCCCGTGGTGAGAGGCAGCTTAGATTGTTTGGATGCTCATCCCCTGATCTCACACCAGCCTCAGCTATCTCAGACCAAGAGATGGGTTAAACTGTTCCTGCAGTTGGGGGTGGCTTGTCCCTTGTTAGAGAATTTGCCTTGGTTTGCATGGGGAAAGGATGTTTGACCAGGGACTGGGCAACTCTTTCCTCAGCTTTCTAAGCCAGTCAATACACCTTCTGGAGGAGGATGAGAGCCTCTACTGCATCTCGGCTTGGAATGACCAGGTGGGTCAGGGAAAGATGATGGAGCAGGCACGCTTCTGCCCTGTGTTGTTCCCATGTCAGGCTGGGGTCCAAGTTCCATCTTTAAAGCAGGATGTGTCCCCCACTGTTATCCTATGTGGGTCTGTCTTCCTCTCCCTGGACTCTCCAGAAGCGTCCCTGCAAATCGCCATCCTGTCCCTGCCATTTGCCTCCCAGTGGCTCTCCCCTGCTCTCCATGCTGGGAACCTCACTGGAGCAAAATGCCTCCTTTTTTTTGGCGGGGTAGGGGTGCATCTAGGATGCTGAATACATCCTGTGACATTTCAGGGTTATGAGCACACAGCTGAGGACCCCTCGCTCCTGTACCGTGTGGAGACCATGCCAGGCCTGGGCTGGGTGCTCCGGAAGAGCCTGTACAAGGATGAGCTGGAGCCAAAGTGGCCAACCCCTGAGAAGGTGAGTGCCGCTGAAGTACTCGGTCTTCTGTATCCCCATCTCTGCCCATCAGCAGTCCCTGATCATCACCTGGTCCCTGTGAGTATGGCTCCTGGAGGGCACCTGGCCCTCCCAGAGCTTCTACTGGGAAGGATGTCCAGACAGAAGGGTTTGGGGATGGATGGTAATCTGAGGACCATGTAACCAGCTGTAGAGCTGGTTTGAACAGCCCAGGCAGGCTGGAGCCAAAGGAGTTAGAGCTGATGTGGGCAGCCAGAAAAGTCCCTGGATGGCCACACTCCCAAGTTGTGTCCCCAAACTTGAGTATGAGTGGCAGTTTCCCCTCCCCAGCTCTGGGACTGGGACATGTGGATGCGGATGCCCGAGCAGCGAAAGGGGCGGGAGTGCATCATCCCTGACGTCTCGCGCTCCTACCACTTCGGCATCGTGGGGCTAAACATGAACGGCTACTTTCACGTGAGTGACCTCCCTCAGCCCCCAAGCCCTGTTCTAATGCCAAGGTCTGACTTGGCCGCCTTCACAGGTAGTGGGGCTGCTTGAGGTGACCTCCAAGTACTGCTGACTGAATCCCATTTTCCTTCCCTCCCCTCTTTTCCTCCCAGGAAGCCTATTTCAAGAAGCACAAGTTCAACACAGTTCCAAATGTCCAGCTTAAAAACGTGGAGAGGTGAGTGCTGATTAGAATGAGATCTGGATGAAAGAGTTGCTTGACATGACCCTTGTCCCCTTGTCACTGGAGATGTTTCCCTTCCTTCCAAAACAGCAGCCATAACCTCCAGCCCCATTCCACCGGCCTCTGCTGGAGAATCCTTGCGTGATTTTTGTGAGGTTGGGTTCAGCTGTTTTGTGCTCCTCGTGGACATGTTGAAGAGTCACATTTTTGATGCCACATCCTTCTGGTTGCATGGCAGTCCCTGCTCTCCATTCATTGGCTCCACCTTACCTTTTGATGTTACCTTGGGGCAGTCTTAAATTTGAGTCATCTTGGGATGTTTCCAGCTTAAACTATCTGACACTGCTCTAATAATTCTGTTCCCTCGTTCTCCAACAGCTTGAGGAAGGATGCCTACGAGACGGAAATTCATCGGCTCCTGGGGTAAGTGCCTGCAGAAAGGTTGGGAGACCATGGGGATGAACCAGCCAAGGCAGAGGAAAGGGTGGAGGTGGCCCAGGTGGGCTCAGCTAAGACTTACCTGTCTGAAGTACTTTCCAGTGGGAGGAGGAGATGGGGTCCGGTCTTACTCCCTGTGCTGTTTCCACAGGGAGGCTGAAGTCTTGGACCACAGCAAGAACCCCTGTGAGGACTCCTTTTTGCCCGACACCGAAGGCAAGGTCTACGTCATGTTCATCAGGATGGAGCAGGAAGCAGATTTCACCACCTGGACTCAGCTTGCAAAGGTGAGGTCCCTGACGTGGCTCGTCCTCACCCCTGCATCGATCTTGGCATCAGTGGGAAACGTAAGCTGGTTGGGTTTGGGTTTGCCTGTGGCATGGATGCAGCTCAGCATAAGGATTCTTGCTCTCCTTGGGTAGTGTTAAAGCTCTTGATGTTTTCTGGGTCATCCACAGCAGATGCCTGACTCAGTAGGGTAGGTAAGTCTTTTGATCTCCTTCTGTGGGAGCCCAGCGCCTCAGCTTGTCTCATAGTTTCCATTGTTCACCTGGAGGTGGTCAAACCCCCTGTCCTGAGGGCAGGGTTAGGAGTGGATTCCTCCTCTCCTCTCACAGATGGTGACTGGGGTGCTGCCTTGCACCACCCCAGCCAAAGGATGTGGCCCTCTATTGTGTTTTGATGAGGGCAGCAGTGGTGGCTTTTCTCTTGCCAGGGAACACCTGGCCCTGGTGTTCATCAGAAGCTCTGATGCCTCTTCCTCCCTCCTTTCCCACCATCATAGTGCCTCCACATCTGGGACCTGGATGTCCGCGGGAATCACAAGGGACTGTGGCGGCTCTTCCGCAAGAAGAACCACTTCCTTGTGGTGGGGGTCCCTGCTTCCCCCTACTCGTGAGTATCAGGGCCGCAGCAATCTGGGTGATCTCCTCATCTTCCTGGCACCATCCCCTGCCCAGCACACTGCATCATCCTCTTCTGTCTCAGCCCAGTCCTGGGGCATACCACCCCCACCTCTTAATCAGTGTGGTGGGATGGGGACAGGATACAAGCCTAGGGCTGGAAAATGCCCCAATGGGAAGGAGATCATGCCAGGAAGACTGGGCGGTGCTGTTGGGAGGTGGGGTCCTGTGGGGAACCACCACCTGTGCCTGCTCCCATCCAGCCTCCTCACCTGCAGGTCCAAGAAGCCCTCGTCAGTGACACCCATCTACATGGAGCCCCCTGCCAAGGAGGAGGGGGCAGTGGCAGTGCCAGCGGTTGCTGCAGCAGAGCAGACGTGAGACTTGGCAGCTGGAAAGCGAAGGGGACTGGGGGAAGACAGAGACCCCCACAGTTCAGAGACAGTGTTGGCAGCAGCTCTTGGAGCCTGGTGACTGGACACGGACTCTCATTTCAGGCTGCAAAATGAGATCTCGGGCTCCCTCCAGCCCCCTGTTGTGGTCTCCCTCGGAGGGGACAGGGTCCTTCCCTGTAGATATGCCACCCCCATCCCAGGAACATTTTTTTAACACAGACTCTTTACTAACGCTGCTCCTTTTGCCCCCTGGCTGAGCAAGGCTGGAGGCAGGAGATGCTCGATTGGGTGCTACAGGGGGCTTTGCAAAACACCTCTGCTTCACTTTTTGGCTCCCAGGTCCTGAGAAGGCAGCAGCCAACCACCTGGGTGTTATTTATTAACTCTGGGCTGACTGGCTCTGTCCAGTGGTGAATGTGGTGATGAAGAGGGCATCTTCCAGCATTTCTTCCATCTCCTGCACAATGGATGCACCTTGAAGACTGTATGCTGGGTTGGACATCTCCCTGCACACTGGCTTCACTTCTTGGGCTGCAGGACCTGGTGCAGCTCAGCTCACAGACAAATGGGAATGCTGAAGAGGAACTGAACTTGCTGTGGACATGTAGGAGACACTGCATACCCAGCATGAGGGCAGTCAGATGCCCCTTTCCTTCGTCTGCAGTTTTAGGAGCTGGAGGTGACTAGATGGAAGTGGATCAGGCTGTGTTCTGCGGCTCAGACTGTCCTCACCCACCTTCTCTGGGGGGAGCAGCCCTGCCTCTCGAGTCAAGGGAGAGAGGATGAAAGTGCCTTGCAGAGTGAGATGGGAGCAGTCAGCAGGCATCCTGCAGGGGCAGGATGGACCGGGGTCCTCCGGGGCGAGAGATGCTGCTGCCATGGTCCTTGCCTGTGGTACTGTCCCTTATTTTCCCTCTTCCCTGGCCAGGTCTGCCCAGCTGTTGCTGAAGGGGGTTTCTTCTCCTGCATCCCCACCCTCACCATGGTACGTTAGTAGCAGGGAAGCCGTGAGCTGAGCCGGCACGAACAGCCTGGCTCTCCTGCCGTGGTACATTCCTCATGCAGAGGGAGGGGGTCCCTGTCCCACCCTCCTATGCCTTAGGAAGGACCCCAGGGCACCCTCCTGCCCCCAGCCACTAGGTACTAATGTCCCACCTGCACTGGGTGAAGCCCGGCACCCGTTGCTCAGTACACCTCTCTGCCTCATCTGTGCAGCAAGAGATCTGCTCTCTACCCTGGTGACCCAGCCTCAGGCACGGAAGCTGTGCTCTGGCTTGCCGTTTTGAGGAGGATTTGCTGCTCAGCCCTTTCCCTGTGGTCACGGGGATCTTCATTTTCTCACTGTGAACTGAGCATCGGGATCTACACTACACTAACTTATTTATTTATTGCTCATGGAAAAGCAGAGGGCTGGCAGTTGTGGGAGGTTTGTTTCTTGTCCCCTGGCTCCATCCTCTGCTCCTCCCTTGCCCAGCATAGGATTGAATAGTTGTGAACCTGGGAGAACTGCTCTGCTTTGGCCAAAATGATCCCTGTGTGGATGTAGCACAGCTCTAGCATACCCCAGGGACTCTGACCCTCGTGGTCCCTTTCATGCCTGTCCCAGCAGTGAGGACAGGACAGATGCAGGAGGGGAACAAGAAGGGTGTAGGGTGGCCCTTTGCTGGGACTCTGCTCTGGCAGCCAGTGGTCAAGTGGCCTCTCTGCGATGGCCCTCAGGGTCCTTTCGGTGTGATGGGAAAGGGACTTGGCTTCCCAGGGAAAGTAGCTCACTGCCTGTACCCTAATGTGGAAAGACTTCAGCAGTGCTCCCTGGTGATGTCCTTTCCCTGGTGTCTCGGTTCCCAAGGTCTCATTTTCCTTCCCCTCAAACTAAATGCACTCCCTTTCCCGTCTTCTCTGGTGGGTCTCAGGCTTGGCTTCTTCCTGGGGCTGGGGAAGGTGGTCCCTATGGATAGGGAATGGCTAAATGCGAGTTGCCCTCTCTGCTGCCCACCCTGCACTGAGCAGGGAGCTGTGGCTGCCTGCTCTCAGCGACAGCAGGACTCCAAGGTGGGCTTCAAGCTGCCCGTGTCTCCACACACATCGATGCACCCGCTGGGTGCTCTTCTCTCTCCCTCCTTGTTCCTCCAGCAAGGCCCTGCTGTGGTGGCTGTGGTAGTGCTGGATGCGTGGGCATCCCCTGGGCTTGCTGCTTTCAGAATCTAATTATTTTTTCAAGAGTAAACACTGCAAAGCTGTTGAGCCTCGTGTATTTCGTTACTGGCCTAGTGCATGGCCCAGGGCTGGGGTTCCCATCTCTGGCCACCTGCCTGGAGAGGAGAGAGCCCTGTGCACCTCAGGGCTGGCTGTGGGCTTTTGGTGGCCTCAGGCCCCTGCCCTGTGGCTCGTGTGCCAGCAGAGGTCCTCCGAGCCGTGCGGTGCCAGAGCAGCTAATGCAGGTTTGTGAGCTATTTCCTCCTCAAGCTTTATCACTTTTATCTGCAGTTCAACTGACGGAAACTCTGATCAGCTGCATGGGGACGCTTGTTTGGCATAACTGGCCCCTGTCCTCCCCTGTGGCACCTCCAGTCTCCTGAGAAACAGACTCATGGCACTCAGCTCCTGACTTGGTGTCCCTTTGGGGGTCAGAAGGGTGAAGCAGCTGCTTGTCCTGGGGTGGGGGACAGTGAGCAGCCAGCTGTGGTGCTAGGACCCCACCAGCCAGCCTTCTGAGCCCTGTAGGGCTGAGCTGTGTTTCTGGCCTCTCGAGTGGGTTGGAGTTTCTTTCCTTTGAGGGAAATGAGGTCTTGGAATAAGGGTTCCCTGCCCAAGGGAAGGAAGGGATATCGTAGCTGGAAGGGACGGGGCCCCTAATAACACATCAGCTCCCCCCACTGCTCCTGAGCTGCTCAGCCCCTGCCCAGTTGTGGCCAGGGATGGCAAAGCAAAAGCAGGGGCTGCAGGAGGGACCTTCATGAAAAACACATCTGCAGCCTTTGTTCTTCCCCAAAGGGATGGATACAGGCAGGGTTAAAGTGAAGCTAAGCAAGGAGGCAGTTCTGCTATGAGGAAAAAAAAAAGCCTCAGAGCCTTTGCGTCAGACCTGTGTGAGTGCCTTTTGCAGGAAGCCGAAGACCTCTACAAATTTCTAATGCTGTGGGGCAGGGAGCCCTGGGTGGGCTGCAAGTGCACCGATTTCTGGGGCAGAGACCACAGGATCCAAACAAAACCATGAGCGAGTGCCAGCCACCAGCATGGACCAGCCCCAGCCTGCAGCCTGTACAGATGCCTCCTGCTTCTCTGCCTCATCCCTGTAGCCAGGCTGGGCTTCCTAGGCTGCCACCCCCTGCCTGGGACCTGGCACAGCTTTCTGAGGGGGAAGCCCCTTGCCAGAGGGTTTTTGCCGAGTCCCATGGGCTTTTCTTGGCGGTACTGGAGCAGGCTCTTTTCTCCTGTCAGCTCCTGCGTCTGCCTCCTGTCAAGGTGCTGAGCCCGTCAGGGAAAGATCCAGCCCCTGGGACTGATGCCACTGGGCAAAGCCCTGCAGGGTGATGTGGGCTCAGATTTGAGACCCACCACACTGTACTTGCCTCAAGGAGCCAGTACTTGCAAACAGCTGCATTTCATAGAATCTCCAAATGTTAGGAGTTGGAAGGGACCTCTAGAGATCATCTAGTCCAACCTCCCTGCCAGAGCAGCATTACCGAGGGCAGGCCACACAAGAACGTATCCAGGCAGGTTTTGAAAGTCTCCAGAGGAGGAGACTCCACAACCTCTCTCAGCAGCTTGTTGCAGTGCTCTATCACCCTCACAATAAAGAACTTGCTCCTCATGTTGAGGTGGAACTTCTTACATTCTAACTTATACCCATTATTCCTTGTCCTATTACTGGGCACCACTGTGAAGAGATGAGCACCTTCCTCTTAATGCCTGCTCCTCAGATATTTGTACACAGTAATAAGATCCCCTCTCAGCCTTCTCTTTTCAAGACTAAATAGCCCCAGTTCTCTCAGTCTGTCTTCACAGGAGAGATGTTTAAGTTTGTAGGAGCATCCCTCCTGAAACAGAAGGATGCTGCTAAAAACAGGTTAACCCTCTTGAAAGGGAGTGCCTGTGCCAGGCTGATGGAGAGCTCGTTGCCACCAGGTGATGCCAAGGTTCATTGCCTGAAGGGGCTTGCTGGAGGAGTCTGGTCACTCCCCATCCTGCTCTTTCTTGGGGTTCTACTTGCACCCTAGCTCAGCCTGCAGGTGCTGGAGCATCCCCGGGCTTCCAGGAGCTGGCCAGGCAACTGGCCCATCACCTGTCCTTACTGGGAAGCCCGATTCACCATCTCCCATGGCTCAGCCCCCAGTGACACTGGCTTTAGCATACGCTGCCCTAGGCTGCTGGTTCGCAGGTCTGTGCCCCACGCACCCTCCCCAGCCTAGCCCAGCCTCCTTGGCTTTGTGCGCACTCACAAAGGAGAACCTGTCTGGGCTGCTCCGTGTCCCAGGAGCTAGCTGATAATTAAACAAAAGCAAAATAGCGTTGGCATGAAACTTGACCTTTCCAGAGCTTGGTAGGGGGAAGGGGAAATTTGCATCATTTCTGGTGGTGGTAATTTTTATGCATTCTGCTTGTTTGGCGGGGATCTCTGTGCTGGAGGAGTGCTCTGACGATGGGCTGGGATGTGGGAGACAAGGTCCAGGCTGATCCTTCCTGTGGCACATTGGTCCTTCTATGCCTCACAGATGGAGGGAAACACCTTCTAGCTAGCGTCCTCTGGGATAACAGTTGTCGTCTTCTTGGATAGAGGGATATCAGCGCTTGAGAGGTGTCACTCTCTGCTTTATAAAGAGCCCAAACTGCTCCCAGGAAGTGGCTCTGCTTGGCTTCTCCCTTTGGTCCCAGCTGCAGGGGATCCCTCCCCTGTGCTCCAGCCCACCTCCATCCCCTGCTGTGCCTCCCACCTCCTGTGCCCACACCCAACAAAGCCCAGTGGCAAATTAATCTTCAACTCTGTACCCAAGATTGTTGCTGTGATGGTTATTACGTTGTGCCCTGCCCGCTACGGTGTTAATGATTAACACCTCAGGTTCAATGTCAATCCTGCCTGCTACCTTTTGAATAGCCCTTCCGTCACCACTTCTGATATCCCGACAAATAAACTGGAGCTGACTGGAAAGCACCCATGGGACTGGGTGGCCCCGCAGAATGGCTTGTCTCTGGGGCAAGGGTCCCAGGTCAGAGAAGAAGGGGAACCGGGGAAGAAGGCTGTACTGAAGAAAGGGTGCACTGCGTCACCTCTTCCTCCTAGGCCAGCTTGTGCCCTTCTAGGACATCCTCTCCTCCCCGTTCAGATCTGGGAATGCCCTGTCCAGGCTGTTAGAGCAGGTCCCCTGCAGCAGGCACTCCCTGGGCGGCTGATGCCAGATGCTTTTGCTTCTCATTCGCTCCCTGTATCAGCACAAACACCTCATTCATGTCCACCCTGTGCACCAATTTCCCAGAAGGAAGGGATGGCTCGTTTCTTAGAGCGCTGAGCGCTGCCCACTCCCTGCCAGCACACACCCCTCTGCCACCAGGTTTTTGTCTGCTGTGGCCCCGGGGCAGGCAGTGCTGATGGTGAATGCCCCTAAAAATCTCCTGGGACTTTGTGCCATGCACAGCACCCATCGTGACTGGGCAATGGGTGCACAGGCACCCTATGGCAGGCTGAAGGGCAGCTCCTCAGGTATCTGCCTTCCCCATACGGAATGGGGCTTCAGCCCGTCCTTTTTCCCCCTCCCCTGTGCCCCTGGGGATGCTGCCACACAGCGGGGCGCCAGATCCACCTCACTCAGCCCAACCTCCAACACCAGCCCTTTCCTTGTTGCCTCCAAGGGAGCAGCTTTGGGCCATCCCACTCAACCGAAGTGCCCTGCATGGATACTGAAAACGGGCATTTCCCTCAGGGAGAAGTTACAAGGCAGGTGGGGCATCAGACCGTTCTGCATCTCTTGCCTGCAGTCCCTGCTAGGGAGACTTTACCCTCTTGTTCTTTCACTATCCCACGCCATGGGTGGAGACCAAGAACCCTCATCTCATTAGCTGCTTGGGCACCTCAAGTTCAAGGACACCTTCCTGGAGGCAATAAGGAAGTTTCTGGCTGCTGCAACATGCCCCCAGGGACTGCTCTGATGACACAACTGTCAGCTTCTAGGGTGCTGAAAGGCACCTCAGGGTGCCAGTCTGGGGCAATCAGGCAAGCCTAAGGGTTAGAAGGTGCAGCTGTGCCTGGTGGCACCCACATGAGTTGGAAGGGGGGGACGAGTGGTGGGCTGGGATGCTTCATGGCACTGGCAAGAGGACCAGCTAGGATGAGGGTCTCCTCCAGGGAGCCCAAAAGCTCCAGCCTTAGAGGAGGGCAGGAGCCCAAGGGAGGCTGCACCAGCCTGGCTTACCCACCATTGCTGCCCTTTGGCTGCCAGGGGAACTGAGAGCCAGGAAGGGCGATGGGTAGGAATTGCATCCGGGAGGAGAAACTGGTCTTTCGGGTTTCCCCAGCATGGGGAGGGGAGGAACCAAGCCAGTGGTTGATGGGTTATTGCCAAAACTCAACACCACAGTAAGAGCTTGCCCTGTCTCAGAGAAACTCCGTGGCCAGGAAAAGGTGTGAAGCTGGGAGTTCCTGGCTGGCATCGCCTTGAGTCTGCTTCACCCCATGGGGCTGATGGTGAGACGTTAATTGCCAGGAGCCAGGTTTGCAAGGCAGCCCTAAAAAGAGGGACAACAGGGGACATGGCCAGGCCAGGGGTGCCCAGCTCGAACACCTCCAGGGAGGTCTTTGAGCAACATCAAGATCCAGGCAGCTCCTACATGCTTGAAGAGGGGAAAAAAAAGGAATAAAAGCCCTGATGTCACTCATGAGGTCACCAGTTTATGGCAGAACCAGGACCTTCACCCATCCAATGAGGAGGAGGAAGAGGAGGGCATTTTCTGGCAGCCTTGCCCCACACCTCACCGTGGAGCAGGGCTGGAACTCACATCCCAGGGGCTAAGTTGCATGGCTTAGGGTGGGGAGTGGGTCTCTGTGCCCATCCCACTGCTCCCACCAGCACGGTGGGTGCTGGATCACACCAGAGAGAGGACAGACCCTGACGGGCCATGCCAGTGCCCCAGCACAATCGTGTACCCAGTGCAGGAGCTGATAAGAGGGTGCCATGGCAGGCACAGAGCAAGGCAGTGCGTGGGGAGGCTGGTTTGACGCTGGGCCCCC